TTATTAGTACTCGAGATAGGACGTGCATACTTTTTTTCAATTAATACCTGTATAAAACGATAATTGTTTATTAAAGTTTCAAGAAATATAAATGGAATCTTCGCTATATATTTGTTTACTTAGAAACAAACGTTTTCGTTATTCTTATAATATAATATAATATTTATTATAATATATTTTTATTATAATATATTTTTTATTTATTTCTTTATAATACAACATTTATTCGTTATTCTTATTTTTTTGTACGGAAAACTTGATATTCTGTATCAATAAAAGATACGAGTTATACCGCATACGGCTGATTCCATGTTTTTATTATCTTTATATTTATTTGTACAAATAAGTATGGATGTGAATATTGGATTTCTGCTGGATTATATTTTTATTTTAAACAGAACAATGTTTGCACAATGTTTCATTCTCAGTCCCTCTGAAATATGAAAATCTCTCTGAATCGTTTTATTTTGTAATGAATATATATAATTCGATATATATTTATAATTAATATTATATAGATATATATTTATAATATATTATATTATAATAGAATATATAGAATATATAATATTAATTTAAATTCGATATATATTTTTCGAAATCTGACTTATAACGCTTCGGTCTGTAACCACAGACATCAGATCCATTACTAGGCTATGTTACCAGCAGACTGCGGATTTTGTATACAAAATAAAAATTACCTTCGTCGATTGTAAGAAATAAAAGCCGAAAAGAAAGTTCTTTCTTATTTCAAACAATTTTAGTAAATACGTTGCGTAAATCATCGGCATATGAATGAATCATCAATATATAATACATTGATGCTTTTAATTTATTATCATGCAATTTCTTATCTATTTAAAATCTTTCGTTCAGTTATCAGGCATTAACATTTCAACGACCGTGCAGAAATAAGCAAGTGAAAAGATCCTTAAAAAAATGTATAATCGTATGTATACATATATGTAACAAATACATGTACATATACAAAAATAATATACATGTATATATAATAATGTAATAATATATATATAATAATGTAATAATATATAATAATGTACGTATACATATATTTTTGTGTACGTATTTGTGTATGTAGATACGCGTGTTCTCTCGGAAAAAGAAAACGGAATACCACATGCTTAACTCCGTGAAATTCCAAATATGGTGTTGCCGGTGCAGAGAATTTGATACACGGACGATTCGACACAATTATTTTTCTCGTTTAATTCGATTTCAGATTACGATAATTATAAATTTTATAACCGAATACATCGTAAAATATAATCGAAACGCGTTAACGTTCGTAGTTTAAACAAGGTTATTTACGGCAATGATAATTAAGAAGCACGACACGGTAATAGGTTAGTTTCTCCATGGTTAATTTCTGGCCGCGGGTAACAGTCCTCGTCGGCGATTGCGAAGTATGCAAGGAATCCGGCGAGAGACGCGCGATAATACGCGATCACTATATTTAGTGTTGACTTACAGCTCGTCAGATTCAGATACAGTGACGTCGCGCGTCGTTCCGAGCAGCTGACGATAAAGAAAATGATAATGGCTGGGACCCAGACGGGCAGACCTGTTATTCGCATAAGACCCGACTTCTTCGACTCGCCGAGATTCTGTTGATGATTCAAGCAACTACTGGCTTGCTCTTGAAATGAATACATTCGTTATGCGAAATCCACGGTTACCGCACGGTTAGTCGTTCGTCGCTTGTTCGCATATATTATGCTTCTGTATTATTATTTTAATGAAATAAGAATTTCATTGGATCTATTGGGTTGGCAACTAAGTAACGAGCTGAATCGATTGGTACAATAAAATGTATGTGATTCCGTTAAAAAAAGATAAAATTGACCTTCACGTGTCCTCGACGCGTTTTCCTAGAAAAATTTTATTAATATCAGATTACGCGGCTCCTGAAACTATTCAAATATCGTTTGAAACATTTTTCAGTATCGTCGACGGTTTCGAAGATATTCGACTGGATCAATTTGAATGGTTCCACCCAGTATAATACAGTTAACATCTGAAAGATGTTTCGATTGCTCAGCTGAATTGTAAAATAGTTATTCCGTTTTAAAAGAATATTTTCTACGCTGACTGTATGTTACTTCATTTTTTTTTTTTTTTTAAACAATTCAGTGTTAAAACAGTCTCGATCGGGAATCGAGAGACGTTCGAATTAAGTTTGCGTTTTATTATGGAGTCTATGACTCAAAAGAGGTTAAGGATAACTGGAACTTTGCCGCTAGCATAAGAATGAGATATTACAGCCACTAAAAACGTTTCGGACGTTAATTTTATGATTTTTATTTTATATTATAATTATATATTATAATTTTATGATTTTTATTTTTTTATGATTATTTTGAATTTACTTCTAATACGGAGGGCTTCGATTTATCGTAAACGCTTTGAAATTTCCGCGTATTCATGATTCATTAAAAAATAGGATAAACTTTGGTATATTTAAATATAATATAATAATAAAAATAATATATAATAATATATGTATAAATATATAAACTACATTATATTTTAACTTCACTATGAAAGGTAATAAGAAGGTGTAATTGCGATTTTAAAGCAGCTTATATTTAAGATTACAGTGGACGCTGTTTATTGGAATCGCAGATAATGTTATCATTTAATAGACGGAACGATTATGTTGGAAAATTATTGTTTATAATGACATCTTCGATTTATGTTACCGATTTTTGAATGAACTGTTATAATAGAATTTTCTTTTTGTTCTTAAGTACGCACGTACATACGTATGTATGTATGTATGCATGTATGTGTATGTATTGTACAGGGTGTTCCATTTGAAGTAACGCACTCAATTATTTCCTAAACTATAGTTCGTTTAAAACCTAAAAAATAAGTGTTACATACATAAAAAAAAATATTGACAAATAAACGAGCGCGCGAGGCTCAGTTCCGTTCATTGGCTCGGCCGCCACGCGCCAGTCGATCCCGCCCCTCATTGGTCACTGTTTTTCGTTAATAACTCGCAAACGAAGCCGCGGATCGCATTTTCGCTAAGGAAAAAGTTGCTTCAAATGACCTCACGAACCCCTCGGTTCCCGGAAATACAATAATCTCGGGACACCCTGTATATATATGTATATTATGATGCACAAACAATCAATGTCGTAGAACGTATTATCCGAATCGCGCGTCGCGAATTACATTGTACAAATGTAACGCGTAAAGTTTGCAATCCATTAACTGGAACTGTACTAGCATTTTATCGCAAACCAGTTATGGTTGATTGCGAAGCCACGCGTTGAGAAAGTAGGACTCCGTCTCTTAAAAACCTCCGNGATAACTGGAACTTTGCCGCTAGCATAAGAATGAGATATTACAGCCACTAAAAACGTTTCGGACGTTAATTTTATGATTTTTATTTTATATTATAATTATATATTATAATTTTATGATTTTTATTTTTTTATGATTATTTTGAATTTACTTCTAATACGGAGGGCTTCGATTTATCGTAAACGCTTTGAAATTTCCGCGTATTCATGATTCATTAAAAAATAGGATAAACTTTGGTATATTTAAATATAATATAATAATAAAAATAATATATAATAATATATGTATAAATATATAAACTACATTATATTTTAACTTCACTATGAAAGGTAATAAGAAGGTGTAATTGCGATTTTAAAGCAGCTTATATTTAAGATTACAGTGGACGCTGTTTATTGGAATCGCAGATAATGTTATCATTTAATAGACGGAACGATTATGTTGGAAAATTATTGTTTATAATGACATCTTCGATTTATGTTACCGATTTTTGAATGAACTGTTATAATAGAATTTTCTTTTTGTTCTTAAGTACGCACGTACATACGTATGTATGTATGTATGCATGTATGTGTATGTATTGTACAGGGTGTTCCATTTGAAGTAACGCACTCAATTATTTCCTAAACTATAGTTCGTTTAAAACCTAAAAAATAAGTGTTACATACATAAAAAAAAATATTGACAAATAAACGAGCGCGCGAGGCTCAGTTCCGTTCATTGGCTCGGCCGCCACGCGCCAGTCGATCCCGCCCCTCATTGGTCACTGTTTTTCGTTAATAACTCGCAAACGAAGCCGCGGATCGCATTTTCGCTAAGGAAAAAGTTGCTTCAAATGACCTCACGAACCCCTCGGTTCCCGGAAATACAATAATCTCGGGACACCCTGTATATATATGTATATTATGATGCACAAACAATCAATGTCGTAGAACGTATTATCCGAATCGCGCGTCGCGAATTACATTGTACAAATGTAACGCGTAAAGTTTGCAATCCATTAACTGGAACTGTACTAGCATTTTATCGCAAACCAGTTATGGTTGATTGCGAAGCCACGCGTTGAGAAAGTAGGACTCCGTCTCTTAAAAACCTCCGTTCCATGATAATTTTCTTCCAAGTAGAGTGATGACGTCTTCCGTCTCGAAGAAGCCGGAACATAAAAAGGCCAGGAAAGTGATATCTATCTGTACGCAAAAATCGTGTTGTCAGGGGGTTCATTTTTTCGTTTCTGGTGAAACATTCTTTGTGTTATCTGCAAGATAATTGCTCGATATCGGTGGGGACAAGGGCGCTAAAATTTTTATTATTTTCTAACATGTCATCTGTATCCGAACGGTCTGTATCGAGCGAGACTTAATTACACGATCGTGAGTGGCTGATAATAATTGCACATGATAAAGATAATGGATATACGTGTCTACTACTACAATTACATGTACTATACATACTATGGTCGTTTTACGCATCGTTTCAGAGAAAGTAGAGTCAAAACAAATATTATTATGTGTATAATAATTATTTATAATATATGTATACATGTTATGTGTAATTACTAAAATGTAACAGTCACTTGATAATTATAATATATAATTATATTATATTATATTATATTATATTATTATACTATATTATATTATATTATATAGTAATTATATAATATGTATACATATATTATATATAATTACTATATAATTATCAAGTAACCGTTACTTTTGCTCCCCGGTATAAAGAAGGAATTCTGAACACCGAAAATTCGACCATTCTTTCGTGATCATAAATATGAAAAAATATAATTAAAAGTAATTCTTATTAAAACTAATGTTTATCATATTAAATAATGATATTCGAAGAATATCGAGCGCGCAAAGGAAGCGGCGCCGGACGTAGAGCGTATTTAGCGTGAAAAATTTCCATAAATCGTACGCGGAGTCACCGCAACGCGTCGATTTGAATAAGCGGAAGGACGGAATGGTCGTTTTTGGTAATCCTGACAATCCGCGGCCGTGTTCTAAATCCTTGACTTCGCGTTGAGGACGCCGCACGCGAGGCACGCAGGGAAACGGAGTCAAGAACGCGCAAGTGGCCGGTAACACACATGAACACATTCGTTTTACCGGTTGTCTACCTGTTCTGGGTCAGTCGCGTGTGCAAGGTCAAGTCCCAAGAATCTCCAACGTCACTGGCTGAGCTGAAGATCACGAATCTTGGGGCCGCGGCGACGGCGACGACGACGACGTTGCGCTGTGCCCAGAGAAGAATATAAGCCTGCTAATCATTTTCGTCGACTCGATTCGTCAACTCATCATCATCGTCACGATTCTATGTATGTAATTCCTCCTTCACGGTCACGAATTTATTGTCCACGATTCTTCGTGCATCTTCATGAGAGACGTTTGGTTGGTTTATTAAAATGGTCAGCAGAGAATGGTATTGATCCTATTGCATGAAACAGTAGAAACGTTAGAAAATTCTGATCGGTCTTAAAAGATAGAGGAGAGTTTCCCGAATACAGTGGCATGCGATTTGTTAATTGTTTTTGGTCCTAAATAGCTCTGTAAATTAATGTCAAACTTGAAAGAAGTGCGTGATTTCTCTGCAATATTTTTGTATTTATGTGAAAAGTTCTTCGTCCAGCATGGAGACTCTATCCAGGATCAGATTCTGTAGACATTTCTGATGAAGAAACTGCCCGGTAGAAGCGCCGGAACGATTTACATTTCCAGCAGCCCGAGAAAGTATACGCCATTGCGCTCCGCTGCTCGCTTCTCTCGACTCGGCTTCGGCCGAGCTCGGCCGAAGCTGTGCGTGATCGACACCGATAGAGGGATCCAATGGGGCGCCCACTTTGTGTAAATAATATAAACAAAAAAATGTATAAATATAATATAATATATATAAATAAATATAAAATATATATAATAATAAATATAATATAAAAATAATAATATAAATAAACCACTTTGTTAATAATCTAATAAATTATATATATAATTATATTATAATAATTATAATATAATCTAATAAAGAAATAATAAATAATTCCTGTGCAATCTTATCCTGAATGTGACGTATATTATGGCTACCACGATTTACATATGTTGTTGCATTCACTTAAAAGAACAGATCGAAGATAATCTTAATCTTTACGAGTATGTTTACATTGGCGTACTAAAAGCGAGGCAAAGTACGTCTTTCGACAAAATATGGAGGACTCTGTAAAATAAACATTTCGATTTCATCATGATCGCGTTAACTTCGACAAACTATAAAAAGAAATTACCGCAAATATTTACATGATTCTAAGTACGCAAGATAAAAGCGAAAGAGAGGACTTAATTGTTCGATAATTATGCGTACCTGTCTAACACAATCGAATCCGCATTCTTTCCTGGTGATTTCTTACATAACCTATTTTACAGATACGAAGTTGTGAAACCGAAAATCGATATTTCAACGAAATACTGTTCTGAGAATAACGATAATCTTCGGGCATCATTTAAAAAACGGAATGTAATTTGTTAAGGATCGACCGATCAACCGATCGCAGTGACTACACAGGACCAAGAAAATTGTATTTTCTAACCATAATTAACCCGAGCTTGGAATAAAAATTTAAACAATACACGTTTCGTCAGGTCTCGATAACTTGACTTTTTACAGTTATCGGTCGCAAACATTAATTGTTCACAGTTCGTAACAACGTCACCCGATTTCGAGGAAATTTTCACCATGAATATACACGGTGTGACTAAAAATAGTACGAGGATTTTTTTATCGTGCATATACGAGGTGCGATTAAAAACTACGCGGAATATGCATTTGTTTCAAGAAACATTTATTCGCTCCTCAATATTGATGCGATGCCCCTCAAAGTAGCTTCCGTCGACTGTAACAAACCTGTGTCAGCGTTGTAAAACGCGTTGCTTCTTGGAATTGCACTCAATACGAACGATTAGATTGTATTAATCCGAATGATTCATTGGTTCACAATTGATATTATTGTTACCAGAACATGGATCTTTATGGATATTTATTTTCTTTTTAATAGCGTCAACAGATTGAAGAAAGATGTTAACTGCTCTGCATTTCGCTATACCCATTTTAACCTAAAGTCGAAAGATAACCTAAAATAAACCATAATTCGAACGTTGGAAATAATTGAACCGTTTAAATGGATAAAAGATTGTTAACGCCGATCGGCGTAAACAGTCCACTATAGAATTTCAAAAATTTTTTCACGTTGACTTTTTATTGTTTTTTGTCGCTTTGCCGCGTCGCAGCGTGGTGCCCGAGCATGCGCGTATTAGTTTCTTGAAAAACAAATCGTACGACCAGAAGTCGACCACCGTTTCACCACAAAACTCGACACTTCTGGAAACGGAGGAGGATCTGGAATAAAATTGTTGCAGATAAAACGAAAGAGAAAAAGGAGAGAGAGAGAGAGGTTATATTTTATTATTATTAATAATATTAAGCGAAATATTATTATTATTATTATTATATAATTATTATAATAGTATAATAGTATAATGTATATATAGTATAGCATAATATATTATAATAGTATATTAAATAATAGTATAATTATTATAATATAATTATAATTATTAATATTATTAATAATATTGAGCGAAATGGTGAGAGCAGTGAACAATTTAAGGAAGAATTTAAGAATATTGTTATATTATTTTCTACTCTTATTTGTTTCTTGCATTCGATGCAGAACATTTTGGTTATTTGGTTAAAATTCGAATAATTTCTCCTCTTCCCAAATTGTCCATTTTCGTGCGCAGTCTAAGCGCGAATTAGGGAGAAATTACTGTGATTCGTTGAATAAAGTTTCGTAGCCCGTATTCGACGGTGTGGAACCGTATACGACGCAATATCACCGCATACAATGAAACGCGAACGTGCAAAAACTGATGCAATTATTATGCGCTTTCTGTTCTCACAACTGTACTGCTGAACCACGAGGCCGGATAATCTGCGGAAAAGTGCAATCTTTCGAGGAAAGCTTCTACGTTACAGAAAGAAACTATTCAACGAAGTTTTACGCTCACCGTAGTTTTCCTGTCTCCGCGTCGGCTCGGTCACATGTACGCGCCTGCGGTCTACATTCTATGCGGAGTTATATACAGGGCGTCCCAAAAGTGTCTCGCGATACGGAAATGGATGGATAACCGAAGTAATTTTTTTCCATAGCGAGAACGCAATTTGCGGCTTTGGTTGCGAGACATTTTTAGAAATAGAAAGCGATGTGACCGATTGTATTATTATCGGCCATGTGGCGTTGCGGGACTTCGTGACATAACCTGTGTAAAATTTGATGCGAGTGTGTGCCATGTGCCTCGAACTCGATTGCGTTGGCCACGTGGATCATATTTGAAGATTTGTGGACAATATAAATATGATCGCCAAAAATCTAACAGAAATAAAAAAGGTGATTGCAAGTGAAAATAATATGTAAATAAAAACAATAAAATACGGTAAATAATACAGTAATAAAATAAAGTGAAATAATGATATGACTTAATTGTAAACTAGTTTCGTTTGTATATATATATACAGGGTGACCCATTTAAATCGATCCAGTCAAAAACGTCTGGTTATATCTGGTTACGTGCTCCTTAAAAGCATTCAAATTTCGTTTAAAACCTTTTTTTTGGTATCATCGACGGTCTCGGAAGATATTTGACTGGATCGATTTCAATGAGCCACCCTATGTAATTGTATCTAACTTTATGATTGCGATCGTGAAGTATAATAGTAGAGGTTAAGTATCTATAAGAGAGCAAATATATGAGTTGAAATCGAATTGTTATTATAGTATATGCCCGATGAAAGAAAATCTAAATGAACGAACAAAATAAAATGGAGTCTTTCGAACGTCGTTGTTGTTCATAACTTTCTAATGAACAACGATTACCAAGTAAAATATTCGAAACGTTACACAAGGTGATGACCTTGATAAAATATTTAAAAAATTGATTTTAACAATAAATATAGTTTATATCCGAAGGCAGAAAATAATGAAAAAAGATGTGACATGTTTGAAACAGGAAAGGTCGAAGCAGGGAAGATAAAGATGATGATGTAAGTATTAGGTGATTAGGTGATAAGAGCCAGGAAGCACGTACATACATAGAATAGTTGATAACGAGTGAATCCGAAGACCAAATAATCGTCACGTCGTGTTATACTGAAAAAACTGTTGCCAACTGGAAAAAGTGAGTAACAATATTGATACCGTGTAACGTGTAACCTCTATTATTAGAACTATGTATAATGATAAGCAGACATAGATAATCTAATAATTATAATATGTAATTATAATATGAATCTTAATAATATTTGTATTAATATTATTTCGATATTATATTACATTACATTACATTACAATTACATTACAATTACATTACAATTACATTACATTACATTACAAAACAATACAATTACAGTTGTAATACAATTGTAATACAATACATTACAATTACAGTTGTAATACAATTGTAATAAAATACACTACAATTACAATACATTACATTATAATACACACTAACCAATGAGAGACTGCATACGACTGACGCCCCGCCCTCGCGACCACTGCCGCTGCGTCAAACGGCCAGCGCGACGCGGAATTGGCCGCAGAGGCGGAGCGCCATCCGAGCTCGCCTCTCATTGGTCACTGTTTTTCGTTAATAACTCGTAAAGGAAGCCGCGGATTGCATTTTCGCCAAGGAAAAAGTTACTTCAAATGACCTCAGGAATCTCCTATTTCCAAATTTCGAGACATTTTTGGGATACTCTGTATAACACGTTCGATTGTATTATACCTTGAATTCGATGATATTGTCTTTAGAACAGCGTTATCTAAAATGAATAATACCTTTCACGCGGAGGCTTGGAAATTGTGCCAATTTATAAGAAAAACTTTCGTTTCGATACGTTAAAATGTGAACATCGAATTTGGGTTTCCAGACCGCAGACATTGGAAACCGGGTTTCCAGACCGCTGCATCTAACGACCGGCAATTTTGACACGTCCTGTACGCGCTCGTGTGGACATTAGGCCAAGTGCACCGTTCTCGTTGCATACGAAAGTGGGACGACCGTACGGCTAGGACGGTATACGTTGTCTACGTTTGTATATGGCAAGACAGCTTAGCGTCCTTGTCGTGAAACGCAAGGTCTTTCCTTATCTGTGCAACTTTGGAGTCAGTTAGACATTTATGTAGCCGAACGAGGCCCCTCTACCGGTTATTCACCATCGACGGAAATATTAAGCGCCTTGATGCGATGACCCACAATTTCGTTGGCAATTTCGTTACGTTTTAAAGCTACTTCTAACAAAAATCTGTTTTTCTTTTATTTATTTATTTATTTAAAGTAGCATCCACCTTTATGGGTTATCAGCGACTGCATAGGACTACAATAATACATAAATCATGTAAATGTATCTATCGTGTATCCTATGTAAAGTATATACATATACTGTAGTATATATATGTAGTATATACATATACATTTATTATATATACATTATATATTATATATACTATATTATACAATTATATTATTGTATACTATATTATACAATTATATTATACTATATTATATAAATAAATATAATCTTCTCACCAAATATACGGACAAATAATTCTCACTCTTGAATGAAACGATCTAATCTCTTGAAATCTCTTGTTGTCTTGTAAGAAAACAACCGAGATACCGAAAATACCAGGATTTAAGTATATCACACTGTACGACCACGCTCGGGCAAACTTATTCGTGCATTCTTTATCGAAACCATGACGTCATCAAATATGCGAGCAAATATCTTTGAGTGGCAGTCTAAAGTACGGTTTCCAAGATATTTTTTCATTGATATTAAATTGTTACGGTTTCGATATTGGATTACGGTTAGATCGCTATCGAATAACACCATTTGTTGGTTTCACGTTATTGGAAAAGTATTATTCGGGTATTAGAGTTAATATAATTTAGGGGATTACGTTCTATACCATCGAGAGCACCGCGATTGATAGCACTAATTTATATAAACTAGAATGGCCGGTCCCGATGGATTACTTCTGAAAAAAACAAACATAATTGCAGTTGGTTACGAAAGTCGTCTATACTGGGTGGCCCGTTAAAATCCGATCCAGTCAAGTATCATCGAAACCGTACTAAAATACTGGAAAAAATGTTTGATCGGATCGATTCAAATGGTTCACCCTGTATAAACGAAACTCCGAGCTTTAAACAAATAGTCGGCTTTTGACCGAGCTTTAAACAATTAATCGGCCACCAAACACAGTTTATTATTATTACGATCGTTATCGATATTACATAAAGTATATCAGACACATGTTTTATTTCGTACAAAGTGCCTCACCTATCTCGAGTTGTTTACTTATTTCGCGATCGCAAAAGATGTCCAATGAAAACATTGATTCGAATATTATTATTATTAGGGTATCCGAAAATTATTGCACAAGCGAGAACTGAGATATTCCTCAGGTCATTTGAAGCAACTTTTTCCTTAGCGAAAATGCTCTACGAGGCTTCGTTTACGAGTTATTAAGGTAAAACAGTGACCAATCGGAGAGCGAGTGCAGCCGGCGCTCCGCCTTCGCGGCCAATGCCGCGTCGCGCCGGCCGTCTGACGTGGCGGCAGTGGTCGCGAGGGCGGGGCGTCAGCCATACGCGATCTCTCATTGATTACTCTCATTATAACTCGTAAACGAAACGGCGGATTGCATTTTCGCTCAGGAAGAAGTTGCTTCAAATCACCTCAGGAACCTCTCATTTCTGGCTTGTACAATAATTTTGGGACACCCTGTAGATACGTGAGTACAGGGTATCCCAAAATTATGTTACTTCCGGGAAATAAGGGGTTGCTAAAATTCTGCAAGCCCTTATGCAAAATTCTAAAACGCATGCTTCGATGCCATCAAATTTTTTTTGTGCAAACAGCGAGGTTAGGAATACTTGTGCGACCGACTGTACATTCTCGAACGTGTAACACGCTAACTAGACTGTGGATTCCCTGCATTTGTGGCAACAACGAGTAAATTCAATATAAAATAAATAAATAAATAAATAATATATAATAATAATAATAATAAATAATAATAAATAATAAAAGTAAATTCAATTAATAGTAAATTAACGCGGACAATTCTTATTTTTATTTTATATCTACAAAACAACTGGACTGCGAATTTTACAAAAATTACGATATTGCAGTTTCCTCCGCGAATTAAAAGACGAAACTCGTTGCAAGAAGAAAATAAACGTGCCAACGTTCGAAAAAGTTGAACAAAAAACACGAGATACAGTTTTCGGAAAAAGCTGTGCTTGTTCTTTTTTCTGCAAGCAAAAATTTGCTCGTTTTCAGCATACTGTGCTCTCGAGTTGCTGCTCTCTTTCATTCATGAAGTCGCAAGCGTACGGTTTTGAGATTTCTAGATACGAACCTACTCCCCTTCTCCTCTGTCCGTGACCGTCTCGTCCTACTGAGGATGTTCTCTGAGCACAGTACCCAGCCATTCATCCGGCAGTTTTTGTCCGCCGACTCGACGGAACATCCAACTTCGTTCCAGATCCATTTAATCCCACTTTTTTTTTGTCTCGGCCGCGATCGCCCGATTACCGAGACACTGTCAGAAATGAACGTGCCAAGCGACTGGTCGTACTCGACAATCTATTGGGTTTTGCAACTAAGTAAACGCCTTTAACCGTCTCAGCAGATTAATTATAATATTACAATACTTTCCAATTCGTTGTTCAAATGTTCTGAAATCAAAATATATAATAATCATAATATAATATATATAATATATATAATATATATATTATATTATACTATATATATTATAATAATATTATATTATTAATATTATATTATTATTATTATATTATATAATATAATATTATATTATACTTTTTTCTAGCCGAATTCAATTTATATATATAAATTGAATTTATATATATAAATTGAATTCGGCTAGAAAAAAGTGTACGCGAACGTTCTTTCCGCTTTTCAACGATTTCGTTCGCGCGTTCGTAATTTTTAGGAAACATATAATGACACCGTGTCCACGGAATTTGAATAAACCATGGCGTCGCCCATTGTGGCCCAAGATCTTCCCGACTGGCTTCCCTTACAAACCTATAAATAAGAATTCAAGAAGCATTCGTGGTTATAAATAGCTGTTTCCGCTTCGCCAGGTAAGCAGGATCGATTGACTCCTCAGCTCTGTCAGAGGCCAGAGGACAGGGTCCGATACTTCAAGGTCCTTTTCATCCTCTTATACATTTCGATTCCAACACGATGAACATTGGTGGACGATCAAATCAAATTAAGTTGAAAAGTTATAAAAATAAATTTTTCTTTTATTTTTATTAATTTATTATTAATACATTATATATATAATATTAATATATATATGTATATATTAATC